AGAGCTGTTACGGAATAATGGAAGGTACATTTGAAATCATCATGCAATTCTAAGTAGATTTAAAAAAAAGTTTGAGAAAAAAAATAAAGGTGCCATTTTTGTCGCGCAGTGTTATCAGTAGATTTTTGCATAATCACTGATTAAACTTAATGGCTGATTAGAATTTTAGCTAGAACTAAAATTAAAATCCGAATCATTCTCGATATTTAAAAAAAATGAAATTTTGACATCAAAAAAATATTTTTTTGCCTTCCCCAAAAACTAATCGTTTCTTCACAAGCAAGAATCGGGTGCTTTATGTTGTTGTCTCAAAAACTGCAAATTTATCTGTGCAACGTCTGAGCCTATCTTTGCCAATAACTAATAACCACTTCTCCTCATCAATACGAATTGAATCATTCAAATCTGATGCTCTGTTCTCTCAAAAACTTAATTTTCATTTTCTGCACTCTTCGCTTCGTATTTGCGAAACAACTTGACCGACCATTTTCAAAACCTAATCAGCACATCTCCCTATCAATAGGAATCGATTGCTTTTTAAATCATTCAAATCAGTTGAGCGGTCCTTCCGAAAACGTCGACGAAAAAATGTATCCAGACATACATTCTTACACACACACACACACACACATCCAATTTTTTCTGAGGTATGCCAAAATGCTCAGAAACCCCGGAAACGTAAAGATATTTAAAAAAATTTAACTTTCCGTAGGGCAAGTTATAGTAATTGCAAAAAAATCGAAAATGAAAATTTTTATATATCTTTACGTTTCAGAGGTTTCTGAACATTTTGGCATACCGTAGAAAAAATGGATGTGTGTGTGTTTGTGTGCGTATGTGTGTGTGTGCGGATACAAATTTTCGTCGACGATTTCGGGAACACCGATCAACCGATTTGAAAAATTCAAAAAACATTCGATTCGTATTGATAACGGAGCGTCCGATTTTAATAATTCACAAAACATTTTGTTTGTATTGACGAAATGAACAACTGGTAAATTTTTTGGTAAGGCAGGTCCAGCGGTTATGGACTCCCAATAAAAATAAGTTAAAAAACAATGTCAGTTGACAGTCAAAAATGTTTATTGGTCATATGTACATCAAATTATCAGTTATTTTACAAAGATTTTAATATTGTGTACTCATTTTGTGTAATTTTTTTAATTTTGAATTTTTTTATATGGTTTAAACAAATGTCTTCGACATTTTCGACAGTATGGAATAACCGATTTGTATGATTAAAAAATCATTTGGTTCATACTTGATCGCGAGGCGTTTTTGCAAAAAGCAATTTTGCCGTGCATAAGGGGTGTAAAAACGGTTATGCAGTTTTTGAGAGTACGTATTATCTGATTAGATTAATTCAAAAAACATTTTGCTGGAGTAGATAGTGTGCAAAAAATGCATTTACTGAATGTTCACGTTTTCGGGCGCACGGATCAACCGATTTGAATGGTTTAAAAAACATTCGATCCCCATTGATAAGAAGATGTGCTGATTAGTTTTTGGAAAAGGCAGGTCCAACCGTTACGGAGATAAAGAGCAAAGAGTGCAGAAAATAGAAATCGAGTTTTTGAGAGAACGGAGCATCCGATTTGAATGATCTAAAGAAGATTCAATTTGTAATGACGGTACTAGTGGTGATTAGTTTTTGGCAAAGGCAGGTCCAGTTGTTTTGGAGATATCGAGCTAAATGTGCAAAAAATGGCAGTTTTTGAGAGAAATAAGCATCTGCTTGTTTTGACGAAACAATTGCTTTTGGGGGGAAAAATGTTTATTTATTTTTTTAACTTCCCGAAGGAGAAGTTTGTTTTCATCAAAAAATCCGATTCGCTAATTTTATGTTTTCTCGACGTTTCAAGCCATTCTGAATCGAATGAGACCAAATTTGAAAAAAGTATGTGTGTGTGTGTGTGCGTGTGCACCAACAGATTTTTTGCCGTAAATCGCCGTTTTCTCAAAAACGGCTGGACCGATTTCAAAAATTTAAAAGCCATTCGATGTATCTCGATGAGGACTATTGTTTGTCAGTTTTGTGCGACGATCGGCCAAACCGTTTCTTCGTAAATAGCAGAGAAGTGAAAACTCTTTCATCCACGTTTTAGCCCGCAGTTATGAATCGATTTTGAAAATTCAAAAACCGTTCGAAAGATATTGGTTGGGAATCGTGCTGATTAGTTTTTGGTAGAGATCGGCCGGGCCGTTTTCTTGTAATAAAGTTCTTAAAAAAAAAATTTCGACGATTTTTATGATTATTTTTTGACGGTAGATACCATAGTCTTCTATATCATACTAAAATATTACGGCCCTACGACAAAAGGTTCAGCTTTGAAAATTCGTCAAAGTTTGCAAAAATTGGTATTGTTTTTTTGGCATTTGTCAAAGTTAGACCTTTGATCGACGTTTTCTCAAAAACGCCTGAGCCGATTTTAGAAATTTAAAAGCTATTTGATGTATTTTGGTGAGGACTATCGTTTGTCAGTTTTGTGTGACGATCTGCCAAGCCGTTCTTTGCAATTTGAAAAAAAGTGTTAAACTTTTCGGCCACATTTAAGCTCATCCTACCGAACCGATTTTAAAAAATCAAAAACTGTTCGAAAGATATCAATTTGGGAATGATGCTGATTAATTTTAGGTGAAAATCTACCGAGCCGTTTTCTTGTAATTAACTGTTGAAAAAAAGTGTTAAATTTTCGTCGACATTTAAGCTCATCCTACCGAATCGATTTTAAAATATCAAAAACTGTTCGAAAGATATTAGTTGGGAATGATACTGATTAATTTTAGGTGAAAATCTACCGAGCCGTTTTCTTGTAATTAACTGTTGAAAAAAAAATTTAAGCCGATTTTCATGGAACTTTTTTTGGCGATATACATCATGGTCTTATAGCACTTACTGAAATATTATGGCCTTACGACAATTAGTTTAATTTTAAAAATTCGTCAAACTTTGCTAAAATTATTATCGTTTTTTTAAGTAGGATTGATGAAGTATATTATTTACACTTTTTTTTTTATTAAGTCGATTATTTACACATATCGGGAAGTTCATGTAATTTGCCTCAAGGCTAAATACCAAACCAACTAGTTTTTTTTTAATTTTGAAAAAAAAAACTTTTTTTCAATATCGAAAATAAATCGAGTTTCAATTTTTTTCTAGCTAAAGTTCTGAACTCACTAAAATAAATAATTTTAACTTTGCAAATCAGTTTATATAATTCTTATAAATATTAGACAATGTTTTCATTTTAAATTCGATTGATTGAGTTTTGTTTATTTAGTTTCTGTAAACATATATAATTTGCAGTATGTATTTGAAAAAATAATCTATTTGAAAACATTTAATATTCCTCGAAGATTTTGTTACGGTACGGTAAGTTCCAGCAATTTGCCTTAAGGCACGATGCCATACACCACTAGTTTTTATACATATGGTTTCACAGACAAATACAATTGCATCAAACGATTCATACATTTTAGTCTATTGAGACAAATTGACACCTAGATAAAAAAGAATTAAAAACACTTTTGATAATTTAATATTTTATTATTATATAAAAGAACAATTTGTTTATAAATAAATTCAATTATTAGTTATTTCATTTATTAATTACTACTTTTTGGATTCAAAATGAATCTTTATATTTACAATTTTGATGAACACGAATCGAAATACAATGGTACCCTGACTTATTTGGCATACTAGTATTTTGAGATACGAGCAGCCAAAGTAATGATCAAAAAATCTTCCTTCCAAATAAATTTATATAAGAACATATGTTGCGCTATAAAATTATATTCAATCAAATAAAATAAAATTGTAAAGGTAACATAAAATGTATATGACTTAAGTACGTGTATACAAAGTCAAAAAAAAAAGAAGTAACGATTCGGGTGAAATTCGAGATAGTACTTTGATTTGAGTGGGTAAGAGCTTTCTAGAAAAATGTTAATGATAAAATAGAAATATGAAACATTTTGCCAGTTGTAATAATGATTTTTTTATCATAGAAATATTGGATGTTTTATGATAGTAATTAGTAGTTACAGGAAAATTTAACCCTTTCCACTGTGGCGGGATTAGCTCAAGAGTAGCGTTCCCGATTCACATGCTGGAGGTTCCAAGTTCGAATCTCCGGCAAGAATTTGAAAAAATATTAACTAGTTAAGAAGTAATGAGAAGTATAGAAGAAGAAGAAATAGTGGTTAGAAGATGAAGTGAGAAGATAGTAAAAGAAGAATGAAGATAAGAAGTATAGAAAAAGAATAGGATTATATGAAGAAGATAAGTATAAAATTGAAGATTGTATAGGATATATGATTGTATAGAATAATGTAAGTGGCTAAATGCTCGAGTAAGCGAGGCTAATAAAAAAAAAAAAAACCTTTCCACTCGCATGCCGCTGCTCGAGAAAATATTAACTATACTATTTGAACAAATATTAACTAGTTAAGTTCGAATAATGATAAAATTATGAATTGAACTAATAAGATATGTATGTAAAATCAAAATGTAAAAAAATTAGATGAAAAAAATAATAAATAATAAAATGAATTGAAGTAAGAAGTAATGAGAAGTATAGAAGAAGAAGAAATAGTGATTAGAAGATGAAGTGAGAAGATAGTAAAAGAAGAATGAAGATAAGTTAAGAAGTATAGAAAAGGAATAGGATTATATGAAGAAGATTGTATATGATTGAAGATTGAATATGATTGTATAGAATAATGTAGTTGGCTAAATGCTCGAGCAAGCGAGGCCAATAAAAATAAAAAATAAAAAAATATAAAAAACCCTTTCCACTCGCATGCCGCTGCTCCGGCGGCAAAATTCGTATAAATCTCGGAATTGGGGAGTCGAAAGGGTTGATATTCAAAAAAATCACGGCGCTGGAACAAATTAATGATCTGATAAACAAACAATGTATTTATAAGGAAAATCAGCTTTGAGATATGAGCGAGGTTCGTATGTCGGAGTACCACTATAACAATGAACATTAATTTTAAGACTCATTCATAATAAAATGGTTCCCAAAATTCATCACATGTGATTGCTCGTGTGATTGCATATGTCTATCAAGTGCATATGGTTTATATTGTTTACCACATAATTTACATGCTTCTTTTTCGAAATGTTTTCGCTCATGTTCTCTTAGTTTAGACGCAATCCGAAAAGTTTTGTTACATTTTCCACAAGCAAAGGGCCTCTGGCTTGTGTGCAATCTCATATGATTAGTTTGCAAACTTTGACTAGCAAAACCCACATTGCAAATAGTGCACATGTGCGACTGTTTTTTTAAATGTTCAAATTCAGTGTGCATAACACAATTTTTTTCTGTTTTGAACCTCTCATTGCAATACTTGCAAACGAGGGCTGATCTTTGTTTTAAGGAGTGACTTCGCTTGTGATCTTTGAAATTACAGTGAAAATAATATGATTTGTTGCATATGTCACATACAAGTGGTTTGGTTTCAGCGTGCTCTTCCCTATGTATAAATAAAGCTCGTCTATTTTTTAAAACTAGACTGCAGGTTTCACATTTGAACTTCCCGGTGGTTGAATGCTTGTTAAGCATGTGTGCTTTTAAAGTGATTGAATTTGTAAATGCCCTCTCGCATATTTTACAATAAATTAGTACACCAGAATGCTTTTCCATGTGACCTATTAGTTTTATTCTTTGCATAAAAGTTTGACCACACAGTTCACATTTGTATTTACAGTCTTCTGAATGTGCGTTTACATGTGCTACTAATGATTGCTCATTTTTGTACTGCTTTGGACAAAGATGACATTTGAATGGTTGGAATCCTTGGTGGATTTTCCTATGGTCTCGCAAATCGGTCAATTTGCTGAACAAAGCTTCACAACAATCGCACTTGTATTGTTTCGCGTGCATTTTGAAGTGCTCGAGTAAAAGATCCTTTGTTTCAAATACTTGTCCACATGTTGAACATTTGATATCAGGTTTTACATCAGGGAGTCGTTTCAAAAGAACCACAGGCTGTGGGTTGCATGTTAGGGAATGTTTAAACAAATCTAAACTTATGGAGGTTTCGTAAGGACACTTTTTACATTTATATGAACCCGATCCTATTCGTTTTGACTTACCATTATCATTTACCATTTCATGTCCTTTCCGTTGATGCCACTGCATATGCTTTGTCAACAAATAATGAGTAGTAAGTTCTTTATTACAGATTCTACAAGTCATCCCTTTTAAATGATTGTCCATGTGACAATCCAAATCCCTTTTATAAACGTACTTTTTCTCACAAATCTTACAGTTATATCGCTTCAATCCATGTGATTTTACATGATGTAAAAGAGTTTTCATACGCTTAATATTTTTTTTACAAATTTTACATTGATATGACTTCTGGCCGACATGGGTTTCCATATGCTTCTGCAGTTGTATATGTTTTACAAATTTTTCATCACATACTTTACATTCGAACCCTTGCTGGTGTATTCGAGAATGAGTGCCTAAACCAGCTAGGAATTTAAAAGACTTATTACAAACTTTACATTTATGAAGATAGTTAGAGGTATCTATAAGATAATCTTTTTTCTCTTTATGTTTTTCTATGTGATCGTATAATGACTTGGGAAGAATGAATACCTTTTCGCAGAATTCACATTTGTAACTTTTCTTTTCGTGGTTTGCAGAATGTTTCAACAAAGAGCTTTTTTTTGTGTAAGCTTTTTCGCATTTTGTGCATTTGAAAATGTTATTTGGGTTTTCTTTTGTGGCTTCAGTGTTTATTTCTGAGTGTCCATCTTCAATGTCCACTTGGCACATATTGCTTAATAAATCCTGATAAACTTCAAACTCTGCATCTTCATCGTTGTTTTGATTTTCTAAGTCAATAACAGGATATATTTCTTGGGAAACTTCTTGGGATTCAGCTTGAGCTTCTCGTGATTGATCTTCTTCTGAATGAACTTCATGTGATTCACCTTCTTGTGATTGATCTTCTTCTGAATGAACTTCCTTTGATTCAGCTTCTCGTGATTGATCTTCTTCTGAATGAACTTCATGTGATTCACCTTCTCGTGATTGATCTTCTGCTGAATGAACTTCTTTTGATTCAACTTCATATGATTCAGCTTCTCGTGATTGATCTTCTTTTGAATTAACTTCTTCTGTTTTAGCTTCTCGTGTTAGATCTTTTGAATGAACTTCTTTTGATTCAACTTCTTTTAACTCAGAAAATTTTGATTCGGCTTCTTCTGATTGAGCATCTTTTAAATGAACTTCTTGTGATTGAGCATCTTTAAATTGAACTTCTTGTGATGAAGATTCTTTTAATTGAGCTCCTTTTTTTAGAGCTTTTTTCAATTCAACTTTTTTTGCTTGAGCTTTCTTTGATTTAGCATTTTTCGATTTACCACTACTTAATGCTCTAACAAAATCAGCAATATCATCTTTACTGAGTCTTTTCACAGCACCTCTTGTTATTTTACCATGTTTAGATTTATTAATTACATCAACAAAATTTGTTAGCACTACTACACAATTTTTCATTTCGTGGTTCATTTTTACATTTACAAATGTTTTACATGTTTAATAAAAATTTAAATATATTACGAATTTAAAAATAAATGTTAATTGTTTTTTAACTTGGTAATATTAATACTGTTTTATATAAATAATACGTAATTTTGTTTTATAACAGAAGCTTGTATAACAAGCCGCCAAAATTATAAATACTTGACAGGTACTAGACATTTGACATTTTGGTTTACAGCTGCGTATACATTGACAAATATAAGCGACGATTTTCAACGATGATATCCATAGATAAATAAGCATGTAACATCGACACGCTTTATATTTATTTATCTATGGTGTACGCGGGGTATCTACTTTTTTGCCTTTTTAGTAATGTATTATGGATTAAACTAAACTATAAACTAGTGGTGTATGGCCTCGTGCCTTAAGGCAAATTGCCCTACCGTAATGAAATATTTGAGGAATATTGAATGTTTTCAAATACTATATTATTACAAATACTGTAACTTTCATTATTTTTGCTATCTTGTTATATCTGAGCAAATCAAATGTAAACCATAAATCAATTTTTCTCCAGAAAGAACATTAACAATCGTCATTCCATTTCGAATTCAATTTAAAAAAAATACTTGCCTAAATTACACAAAATTGAAAAATTGCAGTCTAAACGCATTTGCAAATAATTTTGTGCGGCATTTTCACTTATACTGAGCTTAGCTTGGCGGCATTTTCACATTTTTTTAATAGTTTTCACAAAATTGGAAAAATGCTCCAGTAATTAAACAGTCTAAACGCACTTGGGTAAACACTTGCACCAGAGTGGCGCTTAGACTGTGCTTAGCCTGGGTAATTTTTTGAATTTTTAATCCATAATTACAAAAATATTTTTTGAGAAAAAAAATTAGAAACAAAAAGTTTTTTTTTCCAAGAGCAATTATTTTGTTGAAACATGCAGGAAGTTCTTTGAATCATTCAAATCGGACGCTTAGTTCTCTCAAAAACAGCCATTTTTTAACATTTAGCTCTGTATCTCCGAAAACGCTGAGCCTACCTTTGCCAAAAACTAATGACCATTTTTCCCCGTCATTACGAATTGAATGTTTTTTGGATTATACAAATCGGATGATCCGTTCTCTCAAAAACTCGATTTCTATTTTCTGCACTCTTTGCTCCATATCTCCATAACGGCTGGACCTGCCTTTGCCAAAAACTAATCAGCACATCTCCCTATTAATAGGAATCGAATGTTTTTTAAACCATTCAAATTGATCCGTACGCCCGAAAACGTGGACGAAAAAATGCGGACATACAAAACACACACTCACACACACTCACACACACACACACACACACCATTTTTTCTGAGGTATGCCAAAATGTTCAGAAACTTTCAAAACGTCGAGAAATGCAAAAAATTTCATTTTCGATTTTTGGCCCATTTCTATAACTACCCTACGGGAAGTTAACTAGTGGTGCATGGCATTGTGCTTTAGGGCAAATTGCTGGAACTTTCCGTACCGAAAATTAAAATGTTTAATTATTTAATTACTAAAAAAACTTTAATTTTTTTTTGAAAACTTTAAATAAAATATATTTTTGAGAATTTAGAAATTTGTCTAAAAATTTCAGTTATTCAAAAAATTTGAAATATTTTTTATATTTTGAAAATTTTTAACTTTTTTTAAAATGATTTAAAAGCACGGCCGCTTTGCCATTTACTTATATTTTAATTGTTTCCACACTCCATAGGGGTCCCACTAACGGCAGTTTTAATTCTTGATAGGATTTATATAAATATAAAATATAGAATAGATAAACGTGATTAACATGAATAAATGAAATGAAAACAATATATACGCCTATAAAATTATATGAGATCTTAAAAAAGTTTAATTAAACCACAAATATGTTTTGACAAAAATATATAATTAAAAAAAGTGCGCGTAAAGTTCACACGTGATTGAAGTAAAACTTTTTTGCCATTGTACAAGATGGCATTTAATTTGGTTAGTTAATTTGGTTGGCATTTTGAATAATGTTTGTCAGTAATATGGTAGCACTAATATGGTATACATATTTATATAGTAAACGTTATAAATTATATATTTACAATACCATTAAAAACATTTATAATGTTTGAAAATTTTAATGTAATTAAAGTCACACTTCATACATTATTGGTTTGTCATTGTAATTAGCATTTAGGACTTTTATTAAAGAAATGAAGTAATTACTGATTTATAAACTCTATAACATTCGCCCACACAGTGAATTTATAACAATCTTGAATAAATTTCATTAACACTACCAATAAATAAACTGCATAGATATCCATTATGAAGTATATCTGTATAACTGTATATAAATTATACACAAACTATTGCTGTGCTTGTTTGGAGTAATAATTCTGAATATCGATTTATTCTTCATTATTTATAAAAATATGCAACTTTGTAATACTTAATAGCCATTATGATCGAAAAACATGTAGACTTCCTCTAAACTACTAAAAGATATAATTGTAAGAAAGATATATCTTCGGCATGATAGAATAAAGCTGTGCTGCTTTGATATTTTTCGTATCTATAAAAATGCAGAGAATTATTATGTTAAACAACGCCTAACGAAATATTATTTTCACAAATTCACTTATCATGTAATTGTGTTTGGAGAACTTCATGTAATTAAAATTAACATACATTCATTGATTGCTTGTTAACTTCCCGTAGGGTAAGTTATTGTAATGGGCCGAAAATAGAAATTGAAAATTTTTACATTTCTCGACGTTTTGAAGGTTTCTAAACATTTTGGCATACCTCAGAAAAAATGGATCTGTGTGTTTGTATGTCCGCATTTTTTCGTTCACGTTTTCGCGCTCAGGGATCAACCGATTTGAATGGTTCAAACAACATTCAATTCCTACTGATAGGGAGATGTGCTGATTAGTTTTTAGCAAAGGCAGGTCAAGTAGTTACGGAGATAAAGAGCAAAGAGTGCAGAAAATAGAAATCGAGTTTTTTGAGAGAACGGAGCATCCGATTTGAATTATCTAAAAAACATTTAATTGGTAATGATTGGTAGAAGTGCTTATTAGTTTTTGGCAAAGGCCGGCCCAAATTTCGAAGATACAGAGCTAAATGTACAAAAAATGGCAGTTTTCGAGAGAACTACGCGTCCGATTTGAATGATTGAAACTACTTTTGGTTTTTTTAACAAAATAATTGATATTGCAAAAAAAAAATTGTTTCAAAAAAAATTTAAAAATTTTTTTTTTTTTTTGTATATCGAAAATAATTCAGATTTTATTTTTAATTCTGACCAAAGTTCTAATATACTTTAAACAATTAATTTTAACTTTGCAATTCTGTTTATATAATTCTTATAAATATTAATTAATATTGCTGGAACTTCTCGTACCGTAACAAAATCTTCGAGGAATATTGAATGTTTTCAAATAGATTATTATTATTATATATTGTTCACACAATATATATATATATATATATAAATATAACTATATATAATAATATATTTGTTTAAACGATATATAATAATAATAATCTATTTGAAAACATTCAATATTCCTCGAAGATTTTGTTACGGTACGGGAAGTTCCAGCAATTTGCCTCAAGGCACGATGCCATACACCCCACTAGTTTACTTTTTTGCTGGCGATACATTCTCATTCTTTGAGTATCTGTAATAACAGACTTGCCTCTAAAAATAATTTTCATTTTAATAACCTCAAATATATATCACCTCCAACGAATAATACAAATTACTTCAATAAACTTACGTTTTTTACACGTTATATTTTTCTTTTGTTTTATTATTTTCACTATACAATGAAAGCAATCATACTTAAGCGACACGACGACGAATCACAATCGACCTGTGTAGAAAATGATCTTATCGAGAGCGGATGACGAATCATTGGCATTCGACTTGGGCGTAACGCTTTTCCGTTGCATTTGCGGAGATTTACTCCATAGTCGCACCTAAAGAAGTTTTACTTTAAAATTTTCTGAAAATTTTAACTGTCAATATTAACTTTAAGACAGTTCCAACCGAAGTTTCTTGGTTCTTCTTCATAAGAAAATACTTATTTTATGAAATATATCAAATATTTGTCGCGAATTTTTTATTTATGATCAAAATAAGCAAATGAAGTTTTAATCTCATAATTTTGATTCACTTGAGAAAATTTATAATTATTCTTTTCTCTCAGGCCTTCAACTTGGACACGGATACTGCTGATGCCAAAATTCGTATGGCGAAAGAGCAAAGGGAGCAGACTCGTCAATATTTGGAAGCACAGATTGCTGCACAAGATCTGGTCACCAAATGGATTATTGACACCACTTATAATAGGTAACAAGGGGTAAAGGTTTTTTTATTACAATGGCTATTTAGATTGGATTGAATAAATGTATATAACCCAGTAAACTACAAAATGTAATTAAATCGTGAATGTTACGTAACAGATGTTACATCAAAACATAGTGGTTACGTAACATAGAAGGCACACAGACATCTCTATTTTCGCCTCAAAAACGAAACGGCCTGTTACGTAAAGCTACAAGTTACGTAGCAGTACGTTTCGTCATAGTTACATTTCCAAATTCCGCGACAAAGTAACGGTTTCGTCATAGTTACGTTTCCAAATTAGAAAATAAACATGTAGGTGTCTTTGATGTAACTTAAAAGTTAGAACTATTAAACAAGTTAGATAAAGCTGTGCTTATATTTTGCTCTTATGATATATGGTAAATTATAAAATAATCATTGCTAAGAATAATATGTAATATTTTTGATAGAAATTTCCAAGTAAACAAGTTGTAAGAATGTACAGATGCTTTGGCATAGATTCTGATTAGAATCGCTCAAGCACATAGCGACATATTAAACTTTGATGAATTTTTAAAATTCAACCACTCATAGTAGGCCTATAATATTTTAATATGATATTTCAGAGTACGAATTCTATCGTTATACAAAGTTTTATCAGAATTGCCAAAAATTAT